GATATGTAGTATGTTTGAAACTCAGATATGTAGTATGTTTGAAACAAAAACAAAGCTGAGTTTTTATGAATCTTTTTTACACACCATAAATTCCACGATTCTTCATTTCAAATTACGTTGTAGTGCTATTGTATATACTGTAATATCTGTGACACTTTTTAATTCTTTATATCTCACTTTCAATATTTTTATAACTTTAAAGTGAAAGCTCCTATGCTCATCCTTCATACAATTCATATATTTAATGGCAAATCATTTGTATAATATTGTATAATATGCATCCACAAATATATTATTAATACTCATATACTTATAAAAGATCACTATTGTAATCTATTTTTCAGTGAATCATAGGTTGACTTCAGTCTTTGTACTTTTTTCAGAATCACTGCCATAAATATATTTCTAAATAAAACAGTGTTAGGTTTCTGCTCATTCTGCTATATGTAGGCTAGAAAATGCCTCTGGCCTATCCTTAGACTAGAAGGTGTAGGCAATGAAATTTTGAAGGTAAAGTCTGAAGCAGGTTAGTTTGGATGGTACAAACTACCAAGCTTTGCATATCTATTGTAGGCAGCATAATTTTTTTTTTTAGGTTGAACTATTTGGCAGAGGGGTTTACGTATAATCAATACTATGGGAAACAAATAATGAGTCCTATAATGAAACTGGTACACTTTTCCTTTCTTGAGAGTTTCAGCATCAGAACTTAGGAAATCAGAGAGGAGGAATCTATCTTAAATGATCCATACTGAAAAGAGAAAGAAGGAATTCCCTTCATCTTATCTGTAGTACTTTTGTACCATAATTTTAATTAGTAATTCCAATAAGAGATAATTAGTAATTACTAAAAGATAATTTCTTCCAGTTTGGCAGTTTTTTAATGTGTAGAACTTCACCTCCCATCTGTACAATTAAAAGCCAGGCTTTTTAATTGGAATATCAAAATTGACACCCTTCTAGAAAATATGGGGGATACGGAAAGTTGCTATAGCACATATCCAAAGGTGAAAATTGAATCAAGGAACTCTCTAATAATTTTTGTTCCTTTCAATTGTATTATAGAATACTCTTTGCATGATCAAAGGTGTTAATTTTGCCCTTAAAGAGAATTCTAAAGTTGCAGAGAACCATATGTTTTTATTAACAAAAAATGGCTGCTACCTCTTGTAGCTCACTCTGAATAAGTCAGTTCAGTGCTCAAACACTGTTAATGTTTGATCACGTATAGATTAAACTCTGCAAGCCAAATTTGCTACTCTTCTGATGATTTCAAGAATACATCCATAATATTTTCTTGGCAACGATATTCCCTACTATTCCTTTCTCCTAAAACCTTACCTTTGAGATTTTCTGGTGATGTTCTGTCCCTTGAGATCCAACTTTGCTTAACTTTTTGATATCAGTCAAAGTCAATCTGGGGATGAGAGTTCAGAACTGACCTTTATATAGCATCCTTGTGTGGAGATGCCTCTGGTTTCAGGAATATGGACCAGGTTCTATAACACATAGCCCTGTCTTCCAAGAAAGGGGAGTAACAGTATTACCTAGGAATTTCTTCTCCCCCAATACTTGTTACAACTCTTCAATGTGAATCATTACAACTTGACCTCATTTTCCATATGCCACAAACATCACATGTCATGCAAAATACCATGTGTGATCTCACTTTTTAAAATCTACACTCCGATGCATCAGATAAATGAAATCGCAGTCCTACACTGAGAGACATCTATAGTCACATTCCATTTTGTGAAACATTTATAGGTTGCCCTTTGTTTCATTTCAGACTGTAGATTGGTGGATGGCCAACTTCTACTGTAATACAAACAGAAATGAATAGATTTTCCTGGCAAGGAAAATATTGCAGTGTGGCTTTCAGATACACATTTTTATGAGATGCATTCTACAATTAGGTGATTATTGATGGGAGAGCCCTTACCTTTGTTGTTATGTAACATCAAAATGGTACTTTGGAGAAAAACCTTGGCAGAAGAGCTTAATTCATAGGCTTGGGGAATGATAATCTAAGGGACTACTTTGCCTGCCATTAATCTGCATGGCTGTTCAGACCAGCAGAAGAGGCCTTCTCAAAGATACTGCCGCTCCCAGTCCGAACCATACATGGAAAGAGCCTTCTCTGTGGCTCCTGGGCTGTAGAATACACTACCCATTCTCCCAATATTTAGAATATTGATAAAACACATATCTTCCTTTAAACTTTTAACTGTTTATTTATTTAATAATTTATTTGGGATTTAATTCTATTGGCATTGCTTGTTTGCCTTTTGTATTCTCAAAATTTGTACTTGTGTTTGCCTTGTAAACCACATTGAGTATTAAATGGATATAAATGCAAGGTATAAAGCCAATAATAAAAAAGGCAGAACATTATAGAATAGACTTTTATCTGTCTAGAAATATCCTTTGTAATAATAAAAGGTTTAATTCAGAAAAGATTTGTATTTGTGAACCACCCAAAGTTGGGTGGAGTCTAAGATAGTTTAGGATGGGTGTCCATACAAATCTAATAAATAAAACAAGTCGGTTGGTCTTTCAGGTATCATTTGCTGCAATAGGTTCACAGCATTGTTCTATGTGGTTAATATCTACAAATGGTTCAGTCCAGCTAAGGTCAATGAAACTTACTCTAAGTAAATGACATGGAACATTGAAAATTATTGATTGTAATTCAGTAACTATCTCAAATATAGGGGAACATGATATGTATGCTGAATTCTATTCACTGTGCCACCTGTTCCATTCATGTACTTTGCCCTACCCTAATCATTCAAGAAAACTAGATAGATGCAGTTTCCCCTAAACTAGTTAGCTCTATTTTTTAAAGTTTCCTTGGGCTATAACCCTGCAGTGATGAAAGGATTTGATTTAAAGAAGAAACATAGAGCATATTTTATACTCTTGCAGGACCAGTAGAGGGAGCTCATTAAAAGGCACACGACTAAAATTGTGTCCTAAATGCCAATGTTATTTGTATGCAAACAGCAAAGTTAAGTCACAGTTAAGTCATACAGTAGTTACTGGAATTTCTGTTCAATGAATTAAACATAAGAATTAGAAAATAAAATAAATTAGAAAATAGATTTTAACAACTGTGCGAAATCAATACCCAACTTAAGTTTAGCAATACTCTTAATATTTGTTACTTTCTCCCTTGTTACTATTTCAACAGGAAATTGCAGGCTAAGATAGTTTGGAAACAGAACTAAGCAAATGTCAAATTGCAGTATTTATTACTGCTAGCTACTGTATGTCTATGTGAAATGGGAAGCTAATGGTGTTGGAACTCATTCAGAATATGAGACCTAAATTTTGATGTGCCCAGCCTTTCCTCTTCCTGTAATTGCTACCCTATTGTTCTGAATAAGAAAAAGGAAAGATTTTTAACTTTTCAGTTGTAAGGATCTCAGATGATCAGGATCTTTTCTTCAGAAATTACAGTATAGCATTAAATGTTCAAGTAAATACATACTTGCTCATTTTTCTTAAAAATGTGTCTAGACTGTAATTTTAATAATTCAAATTTTCTGAGATTTTACATATTCAGGTTTGTACAATTTTTCTTATTAACCATCTTTTCTGTTAATTTTTGCCTTAAAACCAAGTACCCTCCCCCCAAAAGGCCAAATAAACACAAAATCATTTTGTTCTCATCTACCTTTATCTCCAATTTTTCTTTATTATCTTCTGTCCAAATTTAGATTGCAAACTCCTTAGTGACAAAAACTTACAATATGCTCTGTAATATTGTGTGTATATTTACAATGACATGTAAATAAAAATATGGGATAAACACATCATTTGCAATAATATATTAATAAGGAGGAATATTAATCAATTAAAGAATTAAAGGTTACTAATATTTTTTCATTATCAATTTTAGCTCTACAGGTTTCCCTTTTCATTGTGAAATTAAGGTTAAAATGTTTTTGCTTCGTTACTCACACCTAATAAGGTTCATCTTCTTCGGCATCCTATTAACTTTTATAACACTCTTCATTCTCCACTATAATTTGTCTCTGCAACTATCAATTTTTCTACAAATCAAATAATTATTTTTGCCAGCAGTTATCATTAATTCTCCCACTCTCTTCACTCCTCATTCTCTTGCAGCCAGACTCTATCTTCACATTACATACCGATGATAAACGACCCAACCCACATTATAACACGTGGTACGAATCAAGCCTATATAAGGTCTTTCAGTTCTCTGTGTCATGTGAACTCGGGAAATTCGCTGGAGTAAATTCTATTTAATGTGTGGGAAAAGATCCCATGGAAACAGTTTTATTGACCAATCCTACGCATGTTTATTTGAAAATCAATCCACTGGCACTGCAGCTTGAATGTTTTTGCGCATTACTATGAACTAAGCCAAGGTTTCTGTAACTATACGTTATCGAGTAAAGCAAATGAGGTCGGGCTCACATAACAAAGACACGTCAAGGCTTACAAAATCAGTACACCTAGCTTCACCCTATACATTAAACCACAACTGTTGTGCTGCGTGAAAGACACGCCGGTGCCAAGTAATCGTGCAGCAGACTGCACAACCTAGGTATGAACATTGTGTGCACCGCCTTGAGCTCCAGGAGGAAAGGAGATACAGATGCTTGGAAACTTATTTAGAGATAAAGGTGGCTAAACGGAGTGGTTCAATCTGAATAATTACCCATCAATTTTCTCCCTGAATCATCCACACAAACCGGGACGCCGCCTGATCAGCCCATCCCTTCCCCAGCCAGCCAGCCAGCCAGCCAGCCACCTACCCAAGTGCCCCGCCCCGCCCTAGTTTTTTTTCCGTGGCACGTCAGCAGCTGTAAGCTCCACCCCCACTGCCGAGGCCTCGAGAAGTCGGGCCTCGGTAAAGCCCCGCCCATTTTTGACGCCACTGCCCCGCGTCCCCTCCCTCCGCTTCGGCGCCGTGGGTGAGGTCAGTGCCGCGCGCCTTTCACCCAGTCTTCCTTCCCGTCCAGATTCCGTTGCGGTGGGAGGTGCTCCATCTCTTGCGGGTTCTTCGCCGCCAGCCTTTGCCGCCCGCCCTCCCGCCCGGTCCTTGTCGCCGTCTGCTCCGAAACCATGGAACTGGCGGACGGCGTGGTCTACCAGGAGGATCCGGGCGGCCCCGGCCCGGCCATGATGTCAGAGCGGGTGTCGGGTCTGGCGGGCTCTATCTACCGCGAGTTCGAGCGGCTCATCGGGCGCTACGACGAGGAGGTGGTGGCCGAACTGATGCCGCTGGTCGTGGCGGTGCTGGAGAACCTGGACTCGGTCTGTGCGCACAGCCAGGAAACCAGCGTCGAGCTGGAGCTGCTGCGGGACGACAACGAACAGCTCCTCACCCAGTACGAGCGGGAGAAGGCGCTGCGTAAACAGGCCGAGGAGGTGCGTAGGCGGGGTGGGGGGGACTTGGGGCGCGGTGGTGGGGCGATGTTGGCAGCCACGCAGGGTCTCAAGAGACTTTTCTGCTTACTTGGACGAGGGGAACGAGGGCTGGAAGGATGCGTTGGAGGAGTGGCAGGACTGTCCGTGGTCAAAAGTTTGATGGGGAGAGGATGAAGAAGCTAAATAATAGCCTGGGACGGACTTCCATAACCAAGCTGGAAGTAGGCTATTTGTCAGGCGCATGGAGAGCTGAAAAAAGTGTAGAAAAGAAAAATCCACGAGCAATAGGCGTGGGTGTGAATCTTGTGGGGGAGGCCCAGTGGTGGAGCTGCTTGTCCCACAGTTGGGTTAAAGGATACTGTTGAAGGAGATGCTTTGATTGCATAGCTTGTGATCCTTCCAGAGGAATCTGATTGGCTGCTGTTACCCAGGATTCTTGCCAGCTGTATCTTGTGACGCAATGGGTAGACTAGGGTGAACTTCTGAAAGGCTCAGTTTATTGCTTTCAACACTGTCATTCCCTGGAGCAGTAATTTTAGTTGCGGTAGTTGTCATATGTTTGTTGTGCAATGTTAGGCCTCAATAAATCCATTCTTGTAGAGGACTATGTTTAGCAAGTTGTGGAGAATGAAACTTTGAAGCAACAGATAATGTCACTTCAAAGCAACATTTTGTTCATGAATCTCTAAGACACTTAATATCAGAAGTGAGATTACAATACATTTGATACTAAAAATTATAGATAGGATGCATTATGTAAAATAATTGCTAGTAATATGCTTTATGTTGCTATCTTCTCTCTATATTTATAAATGAAACTTTGAATTTTAAATAGATGAAAGAGAAAAAAAATAAGTATCCCTTCCTTATGCAGTTCTTCCACCTGTAACATTGAAGGTTGCTTTTCATTAAACAATAGCACAACTGAACATTTTAGATACATTCTTTGATAAAGGCATGCTGCTGATGCTTGGCATTCTAGGTTCACCTTCTGCTGCATCCAGAATTTATTCATTTATTTAAAACAACCTTTATTATTTTGTATAACTTGAGGGCAAATATATATAATACTTTTTCTTTTTCCTATTTCCTCCACAAGAGCAACCCTATGAGATGGGTTGGTCTGAGAATATTACTGCCCCAAGGTGATCCAGCTAGCTCTCATGCCTAAGGCAGGACTAGAACTCTCAGTCTGATTCCTCAAAACTGTGATGCTCATGAGTTGACAACTTTTATAATATTTCAGCAACATATTTTGAAGAGTACTTAAAGTATAAGTACTGTTGTGCTATTTCTTCCATTCTTTAGGGGAAAACTTTCTTTTGACTTTTTTAATCAACTAAGATGATTAAAGGCCTGTAGACTAAAACATATGAAGAATGGTTGCAGGAACTGGGTATGGATAGTCTGGAGAAAAAAAAAAAAGGACTAGGGGGGACATGATAATATTCCAGTATTTGAAAAGCTGCCACAAGGAGGAGGAGTTCAATTTATTTTCCAAAGCACCAGAAGGCAAGACAAGAAACAATGGATGGAAACTAATCAAGGAGAGAAGCAACCTGTAATTAAGGAGAAACTTCCTAACAGTGAGGATAATCAACCAGAGGAACAGCTTGCCTTCAGACATTGTGGGTGCTTAATCACTAGAGGTTTATAAGAAGAGACCGGAGAGCCACTTGTCTGAAATGATATAGGGACTCCTGCTTGAGCAGGGGATTGGACTAGAAGACCTCCAAGATCCCTGCCAGCTTTATTCTGACTCGGATTCTTTGTGGGCAGGATAGGACAGTCCCAGGATCCTGGGCATTCATTTGTTAAAACGCTTGATATTGCTGCTTAAGAAGCAAATGATACTGAGAATGAAAGATAAATTAGGATAGACACTATCATCAGAAACAAATATGTCAAATAATATTTGGTCAAGATATGTAGATGAACTATGTCAATTAGTTTTGTAATGAATTAAAAATGATTATGGTAATTTTGGCTGTGAGTTACCAAATTATAAGGAGTTACAACATTAATTATATAAATGCATTGATGAATGCAAGAGTTAACTTTGAAATGATTAGTTAAATTTATATTCATATATGCATTTGACAAGAATATGAGTGGAAATGGACTTTTTATTGAGTAATAATTATTTGCTAGTTATCCATGGAATTTACCTGAACATTTGCTTTGCTTAAACCCCAGTTAAGAAGAACTAGGAAAAAGACCTGTTACAGAATTTAGGGTTATTGATGTATAGAATCATTGTAGCAAATTAGATGGATTAATGTTCTGACTTGACATTAGGTAGAATAGAATAGAATAGGTTGGAAGGGACTTTGGAGGTCTTCTAATCCAACCTCTTGCTTAGGCAGGAAACCCTACGATTTCAGACAAATGGTTGTCCAATCTCATAGAAACTAAAAAAATAAAATATGTTCTTTTATTTATTTGAACAATTCTGAATGCCATCACTGCTGTGGTGTATTTACTGTTGAAAGACAATTGCAATAGTAATGGTTGTAATTACTATGATAGTACATAGCTAGTGGTATCCTTCTACCAGCTATGCAGACACTGTTGACAAGCTGAATTCCTCACTTCTCTTGCCTTCCTCTCACCTTCTGAAATCTCTCTAGAAAACTGTAGCACTTTCTAAATCTGTTTGGGAGTATTATGTGAAGTGGAGGAAGTATCTAAGAAGGCGACAAGGTATTATATGTAGTCTATTAGGATTTTTATGCTAGCCTCAGTTAAAGCATTTTAATTTTTATTTCTCTTATGATTTATGGCAGTAACATTATTACTTTATGGTAGCATTTGAAGTAAAAGAGATACCATAACTCTTGTCTTGTAGTCAAGAATATTTTTGTCTTTATCATTATTTCTTTAGTTTCTGAAGGCAGTATGTGTCACATGGTATTTGTAAGGATTCTTTTGGCTAAAGAAAAGGGTAAAACTATTTTAAGTACCTAATGCACTTGGCTTTTTTCTATCATTAGTGTTATCTTGATCTTTTCCGAAGATATAATTTGTGCCAAACATTTTCTCAAAACAATCTTTCTGATATTGATAGGGCTAAAGATAGTTTTATCTGAGATGTTTTGAAATGGCCAGAAACCAATGTATGTTCTAATCATCAGCACATAACTGTATATGCACATAAGTCTCTTGACTAGAATATATGTTTATCCAATGTATATATTCATAATTTTTGTTTTTCATCTCAAGAATACCCTGGACAAGAGATTATATATCTCTAGTGCAAAATTACATAGCTTCTGTCATTTGGTATTATGAAATTTTTCCTTAACACATCCAGTGACACCACCTGTAGAGTGTTCCTTTCTGCCCTTATTATATGCTTGATATATCTGTGTTTGCTTTTATTTTAAAATTAAGTTGGTTGGGAGATTTCCTACTTTTAGGATATGAAATTAACCCCCTCCCCCCACATTTGTATGTATGTACAGAAGATCATTTGTATTTTCCCTTGTGCTATTTTGCCTTCTTTGTTTTTACAAATCTTGCAAACCAAGATTACATCAGAATTATGACATGTCCCATTCTTTAAGTATTTGTATCCTGATGTTTAATGAAAATATGTTATGTTTTTTTGAATTAGTTTCATTTCATTTTTGAATTAGGTTTCATTATTTCTCTCATGTTCCCACAAAATAACCCAGGGTTGTTTGTTATCTATTTCTTTTTTGTCCCTAGTTTTGCATATCATAGAGATGAATATTTGCTGATTTTTTTCCATCAAAAGAAAGTCCTAAAAGATACGTTGCATAACTTTCTGGGCTAAAACTTTACTTTGAAATCCTTTAGAGGTATACTAGCTGAATTCTAGCTAAGTATTCAGTGCTATATTTATACAGAGAATACTAAATAGAACCAAAACTGAAATGCTATATGATTTTAACTATTTTGAATAGTTTTTAAATCGTTTGAATTGCTGTTTTATTAAGAATAAAAAGTTTATGTTCTATTTTGAAATTTCATTTGGATTATCAGGGAGGCTCAGGATAAATGGATTAGAAACTCACTGTTAAACACTGAATAATCTCTTAAAAACTTTGAGATTCAAAGGATTACTAAATAGCTTAGTGTGGAGTTTATCTAAGAGCATCTGTAGGAAGCTAAGATGTGTCAGCTGTGTCTCTCTGTCAGCAGAGCAGACTTAAATTGGATTCTCCATCCCCAGTGTACATTTTCCAAATCTTGGATTGTTGTGGATTCTTTGGAATAGCTATAGGGAGAATGATATTAATGTTTATAACAATACCTGTATGGTAAAAGTAGAATCTCCCGCAAGTTTAACTTTATTCCTGATGATTTCATGGAAATGTCCCAGTAGTTTTTTTTAGTAACAGTACAGAAGTGGTTTGCTATTGCTTTCTTTCTGGATTTCTTTTAAAAAATTCCAATATAGCCTGTAGCCCTTCCATCAAAGTATTGTCCAAAATAAACTGCTTAATTTCTGAGCCAAAATAATATGGTCCAGGTGCAGCCAACACAGGCTGGACATATCCCAACATAGACAGGATAAAAATTATCCCAGTAAGAATCAGGACTGTAGCCTCTAATATAGTATAGATTTGGATACAAACAATGTGTACTTCTTTTGCTTGTGCTCCTTAAATGGTTTGGAAAAGAGATTAAACAGCTTCTACAGAGTATTTAAATATATATACAATGTTTAAATATACTCATAAATACATTTTCTTTTGACACAGAAATTTATTGAATTTGAAGATTCTCAAGAACAAGAAAAAAAAGAGATTCAGATACGAGTAGAAGCTTTAGAGTCACAAACTCGGCAACTTGAACTGAAAGCAAAAAATTATGCTGATCAAAGTAAGTAAAAAATATGTGTAAATGCTAATGAAGTCATCCCAAAGGTGCTTTTTTTCACGAGGCAACTGGGCTTTCTTGTTTTTCTTGAAGACGTTTTGCTTCTCATCCAAGAAGCTTCTTTAACTCTAATCAAGTCCTTTTAAATGTCTCACACAGTTCATTTATATTTTGGAAGTGAAAATCATGAAAGAGGCTTGTACCTAAACAATTCCCTAGTTATGGTGTTTTGTTTATAGATTTGTGTATCCACCCATCTCAATGCATATACATGTGCACACACATAAATACACATATGTGCATGTTGACTAGCATAAAATGCACGAACACCAGGAAATTTATAAAACTATAAAAGTTTTAATAAGATAAAACACCAAGCTTTTGCTGGCTACTTCCAGCATCGTCAGGGTAACTTCCAGTCGATGGGGGAAGCTATTTATGGATATGGCGCTCTCTGCGCCCAGCTCCTAGACCTCGTCACAGGTCCCAGCCAATCCACCTGTGCTTTGATCGTAATTTCCGTATTGCTAGCCGTTGTTTCCTTGCTTTCCTTGCTTGTATCCATATCACCACCCTTTCTCCCCTCCTCATGTAAAGGGAGGTGATATGGATACAAGCAAGGAAAGCAAGGAAACAACGGCTAGCAATACGGAAATTACCATCAAAGCACAGGTGGATTGGCTGGGACCTGTGCGAGGTCTAGGAGCTGGGCACAAAGAGCGCCATATCCATAAATAGCTTCCCCCCGTCGACTGGAAGTTACCCTGACGATGCTGGCAGTAGTCAGCAAAAGCTTGGTATTTTATCTTATTAAAACTTTTATAGTTTTATAAATTTCCTGGTGTTCGTGCATTTTATGCTAGTCAACATGAATTTACCCAGGAATCACCTTTTTGTTTTTAGTATTCTTAATAATAACATGTGTACATGTATTTTATTTTGTATTAACTAGTATAATCCATGTAGATACTAACCTAGTTAAAATTTTTGGGGTAGCTGAGCGGACAGTTTTGTGAAAGATGTTCAACTAACACTTGGAGTGATTTGTCCATCTGAAATAATCATATAACAGCCATTCTAGATCTGCAACAGGCTGAAATATTAAGAAGGATTAAGAGGCAAAGAATTTTCTTGGGGAAAAGTTCCATAATACATGCTGAGACTGATTTATGGGTAAACATGTTTAAGATTTTTCATAAATCCCCAGTCACTCTTATGAATCAAATCTGGGATGTACCGTACTTGTAGTCTCACTTGGGATATACTTGTAGTCTCGCTAACCAGATTTGACTTACTTTAGATCAGCTACGTTCAAATGGATTCTATTACCTGTAACTTGATATTTTTCAAGTTAAAATGATTCAAAATATTCTTAAAACTTTCCAGGAAATTTAGTGGTAAAAATTCTCTCTTATTTTATAATAATTCTATATTACTTAAATGTAAGCAGATGTAAAAATTATTTCTGATGAAATAGCTAAAAGTTTCAGAAAGAATGCAAATAATAATAGAAAAAATGTCAGTCTTGACATGTACTTTTCTGCAGTAGCTATTCAAACTGTTATTTTCTTTTTAAATAGAGTATTTAATACTCTATTATAAATACTTTGATATATTCTGAAACAGTTTTATCAGACAACATCACTTCTTTGTAATCAGAAGGTTTCTCCCATTCTCCAGCAGCCTAACAAGTTGTTAGGGTGCTGGGTATTTGGTCACCTGAAGTGAAAGTGTGACTGCTGACATTTTTTCTTGAACTTTCAAAGTTTCTTATCTTTCCTAATTTAACATTTTAGTTTATTTTCATTTAATGAACCCAGAAGCCTGTAAAGCATCAACCTAAAATATAATCTGTACTTCTAACACTGTTTTTGGTTACCAGGTAGATTCTTAGAAAACCATAAATTGGGTGACTGCAATCCAGTGTTTGTTTATCTTGTGATTTATAAATGTTTAAAATGTTTTTGGCCTCAAAATGCTTTGCATATCTCTACCGGGAATCTTCATTTTGCGGTCACAATTGGAGTTGGTAATTCCTGACTAAGTGAATCCCTCATTCAGTAGGAAATCATATGATTGTGTTTCCAGCTTGAAACTGGAAATTGTTTAAATAAAACAATAAAAGATAATAGAACCCAAGAAAGCAAAAAGAATTACAAGAGAAATAAATATATAAAAAATTCCCTTCCTGGAAAATGATTCCTCACCCAGTTTGTGGCAAGTGTAAAGAGATCCCTAATATCCTCACCTCTTCTTAGCTAATAAATATAAATCTCTCCATCCCACAATCCATTTCTTGTAAGTATGCAAATTGGATAAATAACATCTTATCCAGTTACCAACAAAAGATCCATACATAATTCTTAAGTTTTAACATTAATTGATTTATATAAAACTCACATCTCATCTTTAACTATAACAAAATCCCATTTAAAAGTTGAAATGGTTCCAACTTCTTAATATATAAAAAACCCTAGGACCATTTCCCCTTTACAAAATACATCCCCAATACACAATGTTCCAAATACCTTCTTATCTTCAAGTGTAATTCCATATCTCCACTTTATAGGCTCAACCACTTTTCACAAGTATAAAATAATTCCAGTGTCCAAATACAAACAAAAAACTGAAGTTAAGCATAGCAGAAAAAAATAATTTCTCCTTTAAAAAATCTGTCCAGATTTCCTTATTTTAAAGAAAAAAAGCTAAATGTAAAATCAGTTTAAGTATGAAATAAATCAAGCAACAAATTTGTGAACACCTAGAGACAAAGTCATCATCAGAAACCAACATGGATTGGTCAAAAACAGATCATGCCAGACAAATATTCTTTGACAAAGTGACAAAATTAGTAGACTAGCCAAATGTTGTGAAAATAATTTATTTAGACTTCAATAAGACATTTGATAAAATTGAGCACAATCTGCTACTTGATAAGCTAGAAAAATGTGGGTTAGACAGCATCGGCAGCAGATGGATTTGTAATTGGCTGACCAACCACACTCAATATGTAATCTTTAAGGGAACTGAATGTATAAGAAGGGATGTGGTGGGGTACCCCAAGGCTCTATCTTAGGCCAAATACTCTTCAATATCTTCATCAATGACTTAGACAAGGGGATAGAAAATGAACTCCTCAAATTTTCAGATAACATCAAGCTGGCAGGAATAGCCAAATCTCCAGAATATAGGCACAAGTTATAGGAGGACCTTGACAGACTTGAACACTGGGCCCTGTCAGATCTGCCCCAGTCAGATCCCTTAGGGCAGGGGTCTCCAACCTGTGGGCTGCATCCCACTACCGGCTGCGGCCTATTGGCCACTGGGCTGCATGAATGGCTGGCCGGTGTGCATGTGTGAGCACATGCACACAGCCCCACTTGTGTGACCGTTGTAGGTGTTTGCGGCCCCACTCGCGTGACCATCGCCCCAAACATTGCAGGTGCTTGTGGCCCCACTCGCATGAGCTGTGGATGTACATGCGCACACAAACGCATATTTAAACCTTTCACAAAACTATTCCTTCTTTCCTCCCTCCTCCCCATTCTGGGCAGCCAACCCCAAAAGATTGGGGAACTTTGCCTTAGGGAAGAAAAACTCCTGACTCCATTTGGTTGAAGTGAAAAGTACTTTTACCAAGAGATGCTGGTTGCACTAAAGTCAGATGTAATCTGAGTTTCCCACACAACAACAAAGCTATTTCTTTCAATCCTGTCCCTCCCCCCATGACCTGTCCAAACAGCCAATGCGATGGTGCCTAAATGTTTTCGAAATACTGAGGTGTTTGGACTGGTAACTTTCCACACTCATGGTAAATGGCCTTGAAGACACCTTGGCACGAACCAGTCCCACGTTGATCAGCTTTTCTTCAGCTGTCATCCCATCCCCCTCCCAAATTCCCCCACAAAAATACATACAGCTTTATTGTTGCCCATTTGTTCCCCCCCATGCTACCCCCCCCCCAGTCCTTTGATGGCAGGACACCAGCATGGCACCAAGCCGAAGATGGTGGATCTCACAGGCCCTATCTAAGAAGATGAAATTCAGTGTAGAGAAAAGAAAGGTTTTACATTTAGGCAAAACAACTCCAAATGTACTAGAATAGGTGGTACCTGGCTCAACATTAGTAACTGCGAGAGGGATCTTGGAATGATTAGGGGATTAAAGGCTAAAACATAGAAAGAATGGTTGCAGGAATTGGATATGTTTAGCTTAATGAAAAGAATGACTAACTTCCTTAAACTTCCTTAAATTAATTGACAAGTTCTAAAAATAGTTAGCAAGAGAAGTGCACAAGCCTAGTGTCCTCAAAAGGCTCTAATATGCAGCTGGAGCAAAACGATTAATTCCCCTGTCTCCCTGCCCCCTCCCCTCCTCCCGAGATAGAGGTTGCTGTCTTGTGGTCTCTTCATGAGAAAAAGGAACGATTGTAAGGAGAAACACCTTGGGCAGTTTCACATCAGAAGACCAAAGGGAACTGATCCACATCCACTTCTTTGTAGAAACTGCAAATAGCCAGCATTATTTGCCTGTCTTCAGTTGGCTGGCTTCCCCCAGAAGCCGATTAGCTATCATCCTCTGGTTGCCCCCCTCAGCTGGAATAATTACAAGAAGAGAATTCCATTTTACATTTACATTCATTGGGGAGGAAGGGATTATAAAAAAGTAAGTGGGCACATGGAAAGCAGTGCACTAGTACCAGCAGCCACAAGTGTCTTAGGCAGACAGCCCGGTGTATTTTCTACTATTATGCCCTCTTTCTTTCTTGTTAATCCCTTCCTCTTTAATCTCTCCAGCTATTAGAAATTTTCTGTTTGGTTCACCCATAATAGATTTTTCTTAAATTTTGTATGCTTGAGAACTTTATCTTCCTCTAATTTCTAGTGTCCTAGGTTACTTGTATAAAAATATAGTACTGCCATATCTGTCTATTCTAAGCTGCTTATTCACTTGGCATCTAGGCCTTCCTGTGATTTACTTTTACAAAGGAAGATTGTTCTTTA